TTCTTCCCCAGCTCCTCCATTTTTTTCCCGATTCCTGGGACGCCCACCAAAGATAAAATTGTTTTTAAATGATGTACAAAATTAAAAACACACATTACAATTTACAATTACTGAAATACATACCCTTTTCCCATGTGCCAAGGATCAAAGTAGTGACTGATATCCGGTCTTTGTTTCCGTAAAAACTTCTGGACGCCCGAGTGTCGGTCAGTCACAATCGCTTGCACTTCAACACCCCTCTCTTCAAGCATTGTCAGACTACGGACAAATCCCTCCTTCTCCATGCGAACACTGTTCCCCACTTCATTACTCTGTCAAGGCAAAAAGATTTATACTTCCAATCGACATGTTAGGAAGTAACTGGTTACGTTCAAATGACATCACTACATTATAAATATTCTTCAATGTAATTGTTGGGCAAATAATATTTCTATAGTAGTAACAGTTCACATTAAAGTATGTTGCGATGTTGTCATTTTTTATTTAAAGAAATCTCCAAACTGAAAAACAAATTGATTTGTAAATGATTATTCATAAACCTTCCAAAGAAACACATCATTTTGAATAGTGCCACAACTTTTGGCCACAATGTTGTGATGTCCTGTGGAACGCAACATGTTGTGATGTGATTTACCTGAACAAGCTGAATGTCAATTACCCGGTTAGCTTTGAGATTCATCATTGTGTAGCTCCCGTATTTTGCAGAGTGTCCTACAATAAGACAATATACACTTAAGCCAACTTTTCACATCTGTCAGAAGCTTGTGGATAAAGAATTACCAGGTGAATCGGCTCGCATATCTCCACCCAGTGTCATAGCCCCACCAGTAACAGCCTCCATGACACGTTCATCCTGCTCAAGCTTCCACTGCCAATTGACTGTTGGGATGAGGAGCTTGGCTTGATGCCTATAAAAACACTGCTCAGACAGTCCCTGAACGTTGAAGGCCCTGAGGAACTATAAAACGTGAACACATGTCATCAACTGATAGATATAGAAACATGATAATAACAAAATAGTATTGCTCTACCTTTGAAACCTGACGAATAGATGAGCCAGTAAACAATACTGCTGCACAGAGCTGTAGGTTTCCAGCGGGAATGTTGTTCACCAGTGGCTGGCTGGACCACTGGTTGAAGTACTCACAATGAGTACACTGCTGCTTCACCCGGAGCAGTGTGCCGACTGTCACGGTGTCAATAATACAATGACGGGTGCAAACAGGACAGCTCCGGAATAGCCCCAGCAGTTGTTCCTCATAAACAATGTACTTATTTTGTTTATGTGGAGGGACTTGTGTGGGAGTTCTATATTGCAAAAGAACAATCAATAAAATATAGGCCTTGAAAGCTGAAAAATGTATATGATAACTTAAACAGAATACCAAAAAACTTAGGTAACATAATTTACAGATGCATCCATAAGTTAATTTATTTTTTACCCAGTACAGTTCAGGGAGCTTGCACTTCCATCCAGATGGTAGGTGGGGTCAGAGGCTGACACCTCGCACCTTGGTCTTTTGACCGGTGTGGAGGTTGCCATGGGAGCTTCAGGAAACTGAACCTCCATCAAGGCCTCTGTATTGCAAGACATGGTCCTGCAATGAGGTTGTACCTGGATGGCTGTGTAAAAAACAAAAAGGTTAGTAAATGCACTAGGCAAGAGTTACAGCAAAAGCTCCCAACAATTATCACCTTTGCTTCTCCTGGCAGGTTTCAAATTGGCCTGGACAGATTCATGCACGCCAAGTAGTGCATCAGTCTGACAGCCAATTTCACGGGTTGATTTTGGCTAAAAACACAGTCAAACACAACATATGATCATAATTCATATTGTGTACGGTCAGGATAATACTCTCTAAACTTGAAAGTCAGCTTTCATTTAGTTTTAAAAATGCAGTTCTGCTAAATGACGTATGCTTCAGTTTTATCGCAGTGGAGTGTGGACAAGGAATAACAGATGATATACTATCTGCTATTTGAACTAAAATTATGTAAGGGTAAAAAATATATGAATTTAAACTTGGATTGATGTACTTGTATTGATAACACGATTAGCAGAAACACGTCAGAAACACTGATATCTGTGAGCACCCTGGTCATCCCTCTCATCAATGACCTGCACCTGTCCAGTCAGTTTAGCCTCAGACACACAGTAAATTGTAGCTCTACGTTAGCTTGTAGATGCTCTCACGTTTCACGCAGCTATTGCTAAATATGAAACGTACAGTCATCACTAAACAGATAAGTTTGGTGCGTATTCTCATGCGCAGTTGCGCCGTGTCGGCGTAACTTTGTTATTGTTGTGCAGACTGACGCGTTAGCGCGTATATACACACTCACCCTCCATATTCAACAAACCACAATAACCAAAGAGGATTAGCTCACTATGCTGCTCCTACTACAAGCGTATTGCGCAGTGTGGCGATGGCAGCACCATTGCAGGAAGTAGCAATAGCGCACGTCAATTATTGGGCCTTGGTAGTGTGAGACTCGGAAGAGTAGTAGCGCAGGTATTACTTACTACAAGAGGATGCTAACTGCTCGATGCAGTAACAAATATAACAATTAAAAAAAAACACACATAGAAATTATTATATTTTACTTTTCAATCCCCAAATCAAAGCTGTAATTAAATATGTTGACACAACATAGCGAGCTTTATTTTTGCACTTTTACCTGCAGTGTGAATGCCGTTCCCGGTAGCCATGGCTGTTGGAGAGCCAGGGTGGGGAGAGCCAGGGTGGGGACTGCCTCTCTCTTCAAACACTGCTGCTTGGAGAAGCCCATTTCAAGCGCTAATGCGTTGGAGTAGGAATCCCGCGAAAAATTTTTGTCACAAACTCCGGGACGCAAAGGGAGTTCACCTTCGCCCTTGCCAATTGCGCGCAACCACTGGCGCCTAATTTCTAAGTCTACTGGAATACCATGTAAACCAGTAGAACTACTACAGCCCACTACAATACACTTCCTCCCCATACTTACTATTAACTATACAATACACTACACAAAACACTACACTAATACTACATAAACAATACAACTAAAGCTCAATGCTAACGGCTATGCTAAACGGAAACTATTCTAACACTAACAATAAAGCTAAACACTAACTAACGCTATAAAACAACTAGGCCTACTACTAGGGATAAAACTATATTAAATGTAACTAATCTAACTGGCTAAGTATTAAACTAATAACGCAAACCTGATAATCGCTGTGAAAAAACTCGCTCGCTCTGATCCAACTCCAACACTCTACGAGAGCCTCTAGGGGAGGGGTCAGCTTTTATACCACAGCGGCAGACTTGGTGACGTATGATGGTACTGTGACGTATGATGGTACCTCCTCAGCCAACCACTAAATTCAAATGTAGTAAGTGCTGTTCAAACGTGAGAGGCGCTGAACAGACGGTTTTGTACACAAAAATTGGATTTTGAACAAGTTTGCACTAAAATGTCAAAATAATGATAAGGACATGTAGACAACACTATTGGACACTCATTTATACAGTTTATCAGGAAAAAAAAGTGGATTTGAGGGTGAGTTACTCTTTAAGTAAGCAAAATAAAAAAAAAACACTGCTGTTTTGGTTTGTTTGATTTGGTCACAACATTTTACTTTTGTGCACAAATAACATGCATTATCAATGCAAGCAAAAATGTGTGTTTAATTCAGTGAGTTTTGGCTGCGCTTCAAAAAGAGACATGGGGGAGAGACGGGGAAGACAGGCAAGACCCACAGGTGCAACAAGCTGAGGATGCATGCTCGTTGCATGACCACATTTCGGCTACGCGTTCGCTGAGCTGTTAGTACAAAATGGCTCCTGAGGTCAGAACGAAGAATGTGAATCCCGTTCGAGTACGTAACGCAAACAGCCACACATTTCACAGAAATTTTATTTTCAACGGGGAAAAGTCGGAATTCGCAGATCCGCAGAAAATTCTCATCCCTGGTTTATCCTGATGCATTTAATTGGTGAAGAGAATTGAATAATAAAAATAATTGGTCAAAAAAGATAAACTGACCTGTCCGCTTTCCCGGCCTCAAAGGTAGAAGTGCTCAACAGTGCTCCCGGCTCAAAAGGTAGAAATGCGGGAATGCGTTCCCGGCCTTAACTCATTGTCTGCCATTGACCATGAGTTAATCAAATCAAGTCAAATGCGTTTTTTACCATTTTCATGTTCCCAGATGTCTATTATATCTACTACGAATGGGGATTAGCTTTAGAGCATATTTTATCAAGCCAGCAGGTGGCACCAGCGCTGCCTCTGTATGTTTTGAAATTAGGATGCACTTGTTGCGCCTCTTTTTCTCAGCCTATTGTCTATAGCCTATTGAGACTGGTGATTTCAGTAAAACTTCCCTCTACTCGACTGGGGATTACAGGGGAACAAAACAAGCTTGAAGCAACAAAATAATTTTTTTCTGGTGAAAGTAGACCGTCTAATAAGAATCATCAGAAACTGCTGGCAATATGGGAGTACTGTTCTGAAATAGGCTGGCAGGCAATGCGTCATTCATTTTTAATATATTTAACAAAGGTATACATACATAGTTTTTTTTTTTTCCCTTGAAACTATTTTTCTTCGATTGAACATTATGGGAGTTTTTCCACCAGCTGTCTGGAATTCAGACCCATTCCTCCTGACAGAACCGTTGGACAATGCAGAAAATTACCTAAATGTGTATGCATCTCTAACAGTAACAGTTTTTAAACAAAACTGTGAGACTTGAACTTTATGTATGTGATATGAGTAAATTGTGTATAAATGAGCCATCATCTCTTGCGCTGCATTTGAATGATGTGCTTTGGATTGTTATTATCATTACCATGATTTACCATGTGATTAAAGCAGCCTTAAATTAGACTTGTAGAATAGAATAAAGGAAATGAGAAATGTCCTTCTTTCAAGACAGCTTTTGCCAATGATATGCTTAGGAGAGTATAATTTGGTGTGTTGTTTAATTCTATTTCTGTTTCTTGATTGCATTTCAGGACTCTCTGCGACACAAAGAAGAGCGCATTGAGGAGCTGGAGGAGGCTTTGAGGGAGAGCGTCCAGATCACAGCCGAGAGGGAGGTGGTGTTGGCCCAGGAGGAGCATGCCCGAACCCACTCTGAAAAACAGGTTGGTCCCACTACCTAATATACCCACATGCATACAGTATATGCGTACATACATATGTCCTGGGTAGACAAGCTTGGGAATCCCCATGCCGCTGTGTGTGTTTGAATCATTTCGAACAGCACAGCAGTCTGGAAACACCAAGTTTTTGAATGGATTTGGATCAATCACAAAACGGGGTGATGACACACTATAGGACAGACAGAAGCTTAAGTTTGTTTTTAGAGCCAACATGGCTGCAGCAGGAGAGATTCTCCACACCCTTCCTTCTCGACGTTATCGGGTTGAATTACTATAACTGCCACATTCGTGCAGATTCATATGATAAGTCCATAGCAGTCAAATAAACGGCTATGGTCATTTGTTAACTACACCTCTCCCTACAAGAAAATGAACTCACTGTTAGTGAGTGCTTTTAGCACTTGCCCAAATGTTCTAGTGTTTTATTTTCCCTGAAACAGTCAACAGACTACCTTATAGGATAATTTGTTTATGGATAATTATGCTTGAGATCGAAATTTAGACCTTCTGAAATAAATACAACTGAAAAAATATGAGAGCATGGATCATATTGGGGCTAGTGAGAAGTGAAAAGTGATGGAGACGTTTTTGAAAAGGAATTATGACATTTCCGAACTGGACCCTGGACTAAAGCAGAGTGAAGGAAAGAACCCTAACTGTGATTGTTACGCACTGTTTTTTGTTTTACTCAGTGAGGCCCTGAGTTACCTGCAGTTTATAAAGTAACCCATGATAAGCCGCATATTTGCGCCTTTGTGTGAGGCAACAGGAGCGAAGTGAGTAGAAATAAAAAAAATACAAAATAATATTTTTGATGATGTATATTTCTCACTTTTATGAAAAATACTTTGTATTGTGAAAATAGGCTACAGAGTATATATATTTTACTAGGGCTGTCAAACAATTAATTTTTTTTATTGATTTAATTACAGCTTAAAAATTAATTAATCGTAATTAATCGCATTTCAAACTATCGACAAAATGATGCCATATTTTTCTGTAAATGGTTGTTTGAATTGAAAGATAAATGTCAACATAGTGTACATATGTAAAGTATGTTTATTACAACAATAAATCCATATAAAATGGCATTAACATTCTGTCTTTCTGTTTAGACTCAGACTAAAACTATTGTTACAGATGAGGCACATTTAAAACAGTCTGAAATGCAGAATGTCATTACATCTGTCATGAACTGGTTGTGGAAGGTAAAATTAGGTACCCCAGCTTTAATTTAGCGAGTGCGCTTCGGGAGAAGACACGGAGGAGACGGAGGCTCCGTAGTCCAACTTCATATATATTGTGTGCACCGGTTACGCAAAGACACGTACGCTCACTACAATCAGAGAATAGTTCTGTGCGTGTATGGTCTTGGATATGATCACGTTACGCGGCGCCATTTGCCGTGATCACAGCCGCTGGAGAAACTGCTGTCCAGCTTGCAGAGTTCATATAGGAAACGCGTGTATTCTTTAAAAACTTGAATTCCCAGAGACCTGAGTGTTATTATGGGATGCATGGGCATGCGTTAATTGCGTGATTTTTGTAAACGCAATTAATGAATTTTTTTTATTAACGTGCGTAACGCGATAATTTTGACAGCCCTAATTTTTACATTTTTGTGTCCCACGAGATAAAAGATAATCCCAAACCATGGATCTTCATTTTTCCTTAAAAAAAAATTGAGCTACTTCATATAGATTGGTATCTTTGGAACAACTTACCAGATTAATCAAAAAAATAAATTGGAAGGATGCACAGATCCAAGTGATGGGGAGAGAGATGGAAGATCAGAGAGTGTTTGGGCCTGTGTTTTGAATCTAAATAAGCCTCTGCTTCATCCAACACCTTTTAAAACTAGCTTCTATTTATATTTTTTTATCCTTCTTAAAGATATTTTGTACATGCATTTGACATATATTGCTGCTACTACTACTACACAAAAAACTCCACCCAACCTTCCCAAACAGAGAACTTGCATGTTCTCACCCAGTCTCTGTGGCTTTGCGTGACAAGTTCTAAAATCAATAAAAAAGACAGAAACTAGTTTGATAATTACAGAGCCTCACACAGCCAGCAGAGCGCGGCAGGTGTGGTTACGTGATGTTAGTTCAGTCACAGCTCGTTTACTGGACACCTAAATCCATCTTTATTTTAGGAACAGATTGGCTTCGTCCACCGTGAAACATCAGTCGGTCTCAAATAAACTTGTTGGAATGTAATAATGTACTTATAGGATTATGGTTAATATGAAAATGTGAAATGTACAGTCCAGAATGACTTCTAGTGATCTCAAAATTACCCACAGGGGAAATGTTGTCATCGGGGGCATATACAGTAATTTGTGTTAATTTTGGAGAAAGATATATATACCTTGGCATTTCATGTTGGATTAGACAAATTCTCAAAAGCAATTTAGGCAATCCCTCTGTTTTTAAAAGGCAGACAACCGCGCTGTCCAGAGCAGGAGACTAACCTTGGCGCCAGGACTGCTGGGGACTTTTTTTCACGCACTTGCAACCATAACCTGTCATTTGGAAGTTTTTCAAAAAATTTAATTTTCTGTAAAGAAAAATAAACATAGAATTTCCTGTATTCTACTGACTTTTTACAGTAGATGATATGCTCAAGTTACTAATTCCTTCCATTGTCCCAGATTTTGTTGCTTTGCCTCCACTTCAGCACACAGCTCTCTTCTCGCTGCTCCTCTCATCACCTGCTGCAGGCCACGCTACAGACTGAAATCTTCTTCAAACGTGCCTAAATTATTATTTTTTTTAGCACTGGCAATGAACATGATTTATACCTGCATGTGAAAGCCAGATCCTGTCTGACCTTTAAAGCAAAGCCGGGCAGGGCCTAGTTTGACTGATGGGCTGTGAAGTGCCAAACTGTTGTTGGGTCCTTAGGCAAGACACTTCACCCACATTGCCAAGAATGAGTCTATATGGGCCGATGGCACATACTGGTTGCCTCGCTTCTGTCAGTCTGCCTCAGGGCAGCTGTGGCCACAGTAGTAGTTTATCACCACTGTGTATGGGATGAATGAAAAATTATATGTGAAACGTCTTTGAGTGTCCAAAAAAGCGCTATATAAAACCAATGCATTATTAAAGAGAACAAAAACTGCACATCACTCAGGATTGATAGATGAACCTTTCTAAAATAGTATGAGACCGTTTTATGTCAACTAGACTTGTTTGGCTTCTCATGGTGAGTCCAAACTTATATACTGAAACAACTTCACTGGCATCTTGATGCTTTTTCCAGTGTGGTGGTGTACATAAGGAGGACAGTAAAACAAGACAGCATTTAACCTCCACAACCTGCTCACAAAATGGAAGACGTGCTAACTGCAGTCCAAACCGGCCCCTGACCTCTGCAGCACAACATGGCATTCAGACTGCGCCAACCTGACTCCTATGACTGGAAAAAGCTCTCCACACACGCCGCTAAATTGTGAAAAAATACGTCCTAGTGCTTTTGGGCTACGTCAAAGCAAATCAACTTCTTAGATTCTCATTTATTAAATGCTGAGTCCTAGAGGGAAGAAGTATTGTTTTAGAGAGTATTGTGTATGCTTGTATCAGCCACACTCAGTCTAATAGATAAATGTATGACTACAGGCAAATATGGACAGAAAACTGAGCTATTTATATAAATGTTGTCATGAGAGTAGATTCCTAAAAATAATCAAGTAATGTCGCCTTAAACTATAATATGATAATATATGACTCATGTGGCTCTTTATTTAATATTTAATATATATGCATATTAAATGATAAGCTCAAGCTCAAAAGTTGATAGAAACAAGTCTTATCTTCTCCTTCAGATTCCTTATGAGAATCAAGAAAATGTGCTCACGTCAATTGCGCTGCCCAGGGAAGGGGCTAGGTATTGGTAATTGGAGAACTGAGGGGAGAACAATGATGGCAAGCAAACTTTAAGATATACAGTAACTCAAACATGCATAAACATTCACTCCACACATCGTTAAAAATACCTTGGTTCAATGCACAAAGTGTTTCTGGTGGATCTAGTTAGTTAGAGTTAAAAAATAGAATGCTGAAAGTACTGACTTCATAATGTTCCTAATGTTTCTAAACTTTGTGTTTGACTTTTTTCAATTGATTTTTTCAATGAAAGTCTGTGCTCCAATCACCATGCAAAAGTGTGAGCTACCGTAGCTTTGTTATGAAACATAAAATATCTCAATGGAAATTGTGATAAACTGCCATAGTTTAACGCAAGATAAACGGCGTTCATCAAGTCAGTGTTTGGTGATGGTTATTTTAATTTTATTGGCAGCATTATATGCTTTTTGCAGTCCTGTTTTGACATTGGCTGGTACATGATGATTTAAGACCAACCCGGGAAAATAAATCCAATCTTCTAGAGGGCAAAACTCACACAGCCTAGTGGCCGCTGCAGCTCTGTCTCCCCTTCTAAAAGCAGTATTTGAACTCTGCACACGTGCTTTTACATTCTCTAAAGCTGCTCCACACTTTGGGTTAAATACAGCTGTGAAAATCGCACATTGGTTGAAAATAGAAATGTGATTACAACAAGTAGACAGAGCGAGTTGTGTTTGCCCTTCTCACTCCCTCTCACCTCTCAAAGAGTGAAAACAGCACACGCTTTATCACTTTTGATGATTTTGTCGAAAAGGGGCTTTTTTCCTTCACTGTTCTGTTCTTTTCAGTCAAACTGTACTGTCCTTTTATAATATCCAATATAAGAAGTCGATTTTAATACAGTATTTCTTCTATTTTGATACAGCATTGTTTCTACTTTAATAAATATATGTTCTATTTTTCCTGAATTAACAAAAACTCAAAATAAATATAAGAAAATTTAGGACTTAGGCTTCTTGATGGAGACCGCTTTGCTTGGCATGTCCCTCAATACAATATCAAACCTTTAAATTATTACTTATGCCAGAGAGTAATACCAGGGTTTGTTTGTTAGTTAGCAATAACATTACCCAAAGTCACAGGTGGATTTTCAACTTGAATCTTCACACAGGTATTGGGAAATTTGCAGTAGTGGTAGTAGGTAGGTCTTTACAAGTAACAAGAAAACAAAGGTTTAGCTTCAGTTGAAAATACAGAAAATCATGAATGTTTTGATTTTATTCTTCCATACAGCCCAGGCCAAACTGATCTGCTACAGTCCCTCGCATCCTGCACACACAAATACAAAAACGCATGGCCAACAAGTGCACCAGATCCAAATTTGCCACAGAATCCTGGATCTTTCACGACCAGCACCAACAAACTTCAATGCAAGGCAGGGTTTAACCTGCTGCAGGTTCCTCACTCCCATGGTCTGGTGCTCTCCTCCAGACCATGGTTGCCTCCGCCTCTTTGCCCCTTCGGTGATGCAGGGGTCACAGCGCTGTTACCGCCAAGGGCTGCATGGTTTCGTGCTTCTGGGATACCTGTGCGTTGGGGCTTTAAGAGCTCATTGCCAGCGCCCCTCTCTCGCAGGCTCACATCGTGGGTTCCCCTGGACTTGCACCCTGCAGGAGCAGGACTGAGGGCTATGGGAAGACTGCTGTAGTTCTCTGAACTAATCACCACGGTGCACACAAGCCACAAAAGTTTTCTACCGACTCTAATGAATGGTCACTGTCATGTTTTAATAGTCCTTATATGTTGTATATGAGATTGTTGGAGCATACCAGTGGGGGCGGGTCCCGGCTCCAAAATGTCCATGAGCACGTGTGCTGACCAGTGTTGGGCACGTTACTTTGAAAAAGTATTTAGTTATAGATACTAGTTACTTCTCCCAAAAAGTAACTGAGTTACGAACGGAGTTAATCCACTATAAAAGTATCTAGTTACCAGTAAAAGTAACTATTGCGTTACTTTTTTGTTTGGTTCTGGAACATAATGTGCACTCGATGTGCACATGTTGACCTTTAACCTCAGTGAGTCTGAAATATTGCCAATATTTCCATCTAGAAAAGGCTGTTTTGCCGCTGAAGTCCTGTTCACTCTTCATCTCTTTCTGTGCTGTAAGCACTAAACACCAACACCCGCCACTGTGAATGTGGAAACACCGGTGAAGCACTGACTTCATCCCAATCAGATGAACATATATATCATACAAATCAACTGGACCTACAGAGCGGCTTATTCACAATTTGTTTGGCTACAGCAGAATATGTTTCATGCCCGCATTGTTTGTTCATACAAAACGCAAAACTATGAGTTATGGGTCTTACCTTATAAATGACCTGCACAGTCCACTTATATTTAGAGCGTAGATATGTAATCCTCCATTTTGAAATGAGTTTTAAAAAGTAAAATAAAACGCGTGTGTCCTCCATAAACTCCTGTTTTGCTAGCTGCAGCCGGGTGCATCCAATTTCTAAAATCAACAGTCTTACACTTCACCTCTCTTTCTTATCATTCCTATAGTCATTGAAAAAAATACTCTAAGTGCATTTTAAATTATCTTAAAATGTGTTATATGTATGTTAGCCAAACCTGTTGCTGTCCTAAGCAGATAAACCAGGAAGAGAAAGGAGCTTATCGATGGAATTGTATGCAGCCGACTTCTGCGCTCACATGCGCTCCTCTGAGGCTGGCCTCACGGTGATACAAGCCGTGGTTGAGCGCGATTAAGACCCATATTTGTTTCAAAAACACAATTTATGAGCCATCCTCTCAACTGTAAACATGTAGATTGTAAAGGAAATATGTTTTACTTCAGCCAATAATTGCTGAGAGGTGTTCTCATCCTCCCTTCTCTCATGACAACACGCGCAGGAGTCCCATCACAAAGTAAAAAGAGAAGTTCATTGTGCGTCTTGAGTAACGCGCAGTAACGGGATGTCGGAAATGATAACGGCGTTATAGTTACAGTCAAAGTAACTAGTTATACTCGTTACTAAAAAAAGTAACGCCGTTATTCCCATCACTGGTGCTGACATGCTTGCAATCTCAATCCGGTGGGAGTGGACCCAGAAAGAGAATTACCCAATGCTTTTTTATTGCGTCATCTTTCCTCTCGAAAACAGCTTTACAGGAGGGTTCAAAAGTTGGCTCTTGGCCCAACGCTTCCTTCAAGATGTGTGTCAATGCTGAGGGGAGAATTATATTTTGGTCGCTGTGGACTTCAGAAGGCACTCATTAATTAATGTTGAAAAATATTTACTGTCCATAATAGTACAGGATCTCATAATTGTCAGAAATACACATTATTTGAGTTGCTGGAATCACCTTTAACATGTGCTTTTCTGTAGTCTATCTGTTGTCACTTTAGCAACATTAACACTTTCTCCTCTTTTCTTCCCATATGATTTCATTATCTGCACCTCTGTCCTGTTCTCTCTCTCCTTTTGACTTTTGGTTCTCCTCCTGAACTTGCCCATCTCTCTTCGCCCTCTGCCCCATGCCTCCCACTGCTCTTTTGTGCAGCTCTGTCATTGTTCTCTGCATGAGCGCACCACTGAAGGCTTTAGGTGGTCGAAGGTAACTCATCATCATTTCACGCCACAGTCCAGTCCTATCACCACATCCTTCTTAAAGCTGCACTAACTGACTTTATTTTCGTATTCATTACGAAAATGCTATCCATGTCCAAGCAGTGCATTGGGATATACGTCCTTTTGAAGAATAATTAGCGCAGATTTGTGCTGGCGTGACATTATATTTTAGATCGAGTTTTGATGAAACAAGGAAGAGATGTGTTTCGGGTCGCAGATTGTGACCAATCACAACGGACCACTGGCCCCCACTTTTGTGAGAAATCTACAGGTCCGTTAGCATAGACGGCTGAGTTAGCACAACAAGCCGAGGAGCTAACCTGAAGCTTCGTGTCTTCATCACCGGTTACTGCTTACACAGCGAAACAGCCATCCAAAAGAAAGTCCCATTCCTCCGCGCTTCCCGGTTCTATCGTTTTATGGTCACGCCATCCACGTGCAAATCCATATTCATGTATTATCCATATTGGGAGGCACTAGCTCCGTCCCAACAGTGGGTGTGTGTGGGAAGTGATAGCTTCGTGGGTGCGGAGAGGAGGCCAGCGAGTCCACGGCTTCAAAATCCCAAAGTCAGTTAGTGCAGCTTTAAATAATTATTTTGTAAAATCAACCTTTTCGAGCTTTTAACCTTGTTTCAACGTTCACTCTTCAAAAACAGACCTGGACCCATCCACGCTAATTTGAGGAACTTCTCTGTCCCTTTCGTCTCCGTCCTGTAAGCGTATGATATTGTTATACCATATGACTTTCAAGCAAAAGTATTGCCCATGAATTAGTTTTGCCAATTTCTCACATGAAATGTCTGTTTTTACAATTGCTTGTCATTTTCAAATTTGTGCAATAACAAATTCTACCATCCCCTGGTGGTAGCATACAGATAGGGCAGGCATTTTCACTCCACTGAAACACCGTATTCATGGAAACCAAAGGCCAATTCGATACCCAACTCTAACACTTTACTGTCGCAGCGTCCTCGTGTAAACGCCACATAAGAGCACACAAGGAGCTCCTTGTTTGGAGAGAGGATGTGGCACACGTTCAACACACAATTCATAATTATAATTAAAATGTTATAATACATCCTGCTGCACATGCCATCACAATATCCATGATGAATTAACATAACCTTGAAATAAGAATAGAGGAGAGAAATCCAATTCTCCATCGAAGAAATGTATTTGTGCCAATTTACCCCTGTAGTTCCTATTATTAGCGTGGATTGTGTTACAACAATGTAACTTTTTTATGAGGTAAGAAATATATAATCATACATCCCCTTTAATTGGCCTCAAAGTAGCTTCCACGCAGCTAATAAGCTGCCATTGCTCCATCAGACTCTTGATACTTGAAAAATATATGGATATTTCAAAACTGCTATGGGACAAAAGATTGGGGAGTGTACATTTGCAACTTAACCAACTCTGTTTAGCTTCAAATTCCTACCCATTTAGCTTTGGGTGACTTGATTTCTTCTGGTCTATGTGCAGTCTATAGTTGTATTGTGAGAAATTAATTCATCCACACGTTCCATTACTGCAGAGAATACAGCGATGGGAAAACATGAACTATATGATACAAACAACAAGCTCTGTAGATCACAGGCGCAAGTAGTGTCAGGCGCTTACACCCTCAACATATAATTCCCACAATGTGTCTTTAAGGTGGAGGACTTGCTGACCGCTATGGAGAAGGTCAAACAGGAACTGGAGTTGATGAAAGCCAAGCTGTCGTCGACTCAGCTCTCATTGGCCGAGAAGGAGAACCACCTGACCTCGCTGAGGGCCGAGCGCAGGAAGCACCTGGAGGAGGTCCTGGAGATGAAGTAAGAGCTGCTGTTTACACGATCCCCCGCTCACCGTGACGTGGTGTGTTCCGTGTCGGCGCGTACTGCTTTACGACCTGTGTGTCCTGTCGGCCTTGGGCTCAGAGTGAGATCAAACTCAAAGTGTCTGTGACGGGTTGTATTTTTCCACTCGTGGTTACTTTTCATGGATGGTCTTTCATGGGACCAAACAGCCGGCAAATATTTACAGTTTTAGATCAGTGAAGTGACAGTTTGGCATTTGATGTTTTAGAACACAAGAAGTTATCCGACAGTACAATGATTCATCAAGGTGTTACATTTTTACCTTGCGCTATAGGAAAACCAAGCAGAGAAGAGCGCCCCTAGCGTTAGGTTTCTGTTTTGCATGTTGAAGTACTTTCGCCTTTGAGCTTGTAGCTATTGTCAGAGCAACACGCAGCTGCCAGAGCCTCCACATTCACGTTGTTCCCTGTGTGTCAGTGTGCGTTAATGAACAGAAAGTAAGTACCATGTGTGATTTGTTGATATACTGTATATGTGCAGTTTTAGCCATATGTCTGTGTACTTTACACAGACATATGACTTTACTCCTGTTTTCTTCTACCTCAGTTTATCATTTGTGATGTGATGTACCTACTTTAAGTAATATTCTAATGTCACATGTTTTTTGCTGCTAATTTAGTTCAAAGTTCATTCTATTGCTGGTTCATTATTAGTTACGTCCATTGTGCATCTGACAACCTGCGCTGCGTCTTGTGCCAAAATGAAACGGCATGTCTGCACCCAAATAAGTGCTGTATTTTTCTAATATTGTGCAGGGCTTAAAGTTTTCCGGCACCGTGCCGGAAATCCGGCGTGAGGGAAAAAAAAAAAAAAACATCACTTTTTTTATTTTTTTTATTTTTTTTATATATATATAAATAAATAATGATTGCTGTCATTTGAAAAAAGGTTCAAGTGTGTTCTACCAATTGTATGAAAGGATTGCATGTGTATAGCGCAGGGATTAAAGAGTTCCGTCTAAGTGACGGATTTCCGTCAAATGAAATTGGTCTGAAAAAGAAACAAAATATATAATAATAATATAATACACACAATGAAATGGTTAATTATAACAAAATATATAGTAATACGTGTGAATCTGTTGTATATATCTAGATATATATTAATAATTTGAATATAATTGTATTTATATGTATATAGAAATAAAAAGTAACGAGTGGGCCTTGAACGTGCCGTGGCTAGCTACATGAGCGCTCCGTAAATGATTCAAGGCAATGGGACGTAGCCAAGTTAGCATTGGTAACACGGAGGTGAAAGTTTCTGAAAAGTGCACGGAGCTTTTGAAAAGGAGAAGAGGACAAGGAAAATGTAATCCCGAACGGAGCAATAACAGCCAGCAGCCCGCGGACCGGTAAGCTAGGCGCGTTATCAGAGGAAAGGTAGGACATAATTAACGTTTACCAAACGCAATGCTTTTTTATTTAACGGAATGTACAATATGTACTTGGCTGTGACTGGGAATGGGGACAAGCATGTCTTGGTGAGCTTTTGATAATATCTTGGTGGCGATCCCCATGCAAAACTGCGTGATAAAAAGAGCCAATCAACGAGAGCGAACGGAAGAAACTCGCTGAAGAAAGGTCTGTGTTAGCAGGTCTTATATTCATTCATCAAAGCTAGCCTAGCATGCACGCACAATCACAATCATGGATAATAATGATAATAATAATAATGCATCGGTTTTATATAGCGCTTTTTTGGACACTCAAAGACGCTTCACATGTGTCATTATACATAGTTCCCACATGACGTCACTACATACGGGGATTTGCCGACCCGGCGCCATTTGTCTTGGCATTCTGTGGGCAAAACAATAGAAAAAGAAGCTGAAACGTGTTAATGTCGTGATAAAGTTGAAAATGGTCATCTCCTGCTGGGTCAATGGATGTTCAAATCGTGCCGGAGGTTCCGTTAAACTTGGATTTTACAGTATACCCATCATTAGACTTCATGAATGTGAGAAGACTAAGCTTTTGTCAGAACAACCACGGAGGTTATGGCTTGCGAAGATAAACAGGCAAGAAACTCCCTCAAAACACGCAAGAATATGCTCGGAGCACTTTGTGTCAGGTGCGTATCGTATCTTATAATGTGTTGACAGACGTAATTTACTCAGTACTAACTTGTGTATGCTGATATCTGGTAACTTGAGAGTTTCATTATTTAGCGTTAGATTACTTTATTATGAGGAGGATCGGTGTCGCGTCCGAGGCTCTCGAGGGCAACGTAAATGTATTAAATAGATAATAATAGTTCTATGGTGGGCTAAAACAATGTCCACAAACAGCATTGCTTCTGTAAAAAGATCTGTGTCATAAAATAAACTGCTCTTTACGCCTGGAAAAATCAGTTGCCCACCATTCACCAAAACATACGGTCAAAAACGCGGAAATAAACAATAACAGCAATCCAGAGTGTCCGTGTGGCATTAGCATTTAATTAAATTAATTGTTAATATAATTAAAATAATTAAATGGAGCTCCAACTGGTATTAAATCTAAAGTTTTTGAGAAATGTTTGCATTGCTTGTTAATTTTTGCTGCATAATTTGATCAAATATGTAAAACATGTCCGTAGCACGTTAAACTGTGGTGCCATTGTATTAATATACAATTATTTGCTCAAAAGTTGCCCTTTTTTTCCAATTTGCGTTTGAATATCTACATTTATTCTCATTCTTCTGTTTAATGGAATGCACAAACACAGCAGCGTGCCATCAAAGATGGCGTCTCCGAGGAGGTCATGTGACATTCATTGGTCTGTGGGAACTATGTATTCATTCACTCCATACACGGTGGTGATAAACTACTACTGTAGCCACAGCTGCCCTGGGGCACACTGACAGAAGCGAGGCAACCAGTATGTGCCATCGGCCCCTCCGATCACCACCAACCATTCACACACACACACCAGACTCATTCTAGGCAATGGGGGTGAAGTGTCTTGCCTAAGGACACAACGGCAGTTTGGCACTTTACAGCCGCAGCCGCCCCACTCGTTGTTTATGGAAGAAGGAGCTGTATAAGTTGCTGTTGATAACGGAGTGAAAAATAAATGGAGGTGGGCATGGCTGGATGAGGTGGAGACGATGGGATTCTGTTGCTTCATGGTGCAAAAAGATAAAGGTGTCCGGTGCTTGTTCGTACTTCGCTATTATTATTTTTTTATATGGGAGTAATGAGAAAACAGCTTTGGATTCACCACCAGCTCAAAACTGCGCACTTGGCAGCTGTCCGTGCACTTTCCCACACTTCTTTACCTGGTGCATCAGATTCAGCGACAACTGAGACTAGGCTTGCTCTGGTGGACTGTGTCTGTGACCTAAAACTATCTGTGGCTTTATCGCAGAAAATAACCTGTCGTTCAGAACCATCACTACCGCTGGTAGATTTAATTATCATTAATCATTTGCAGTTGATAAAACTGCGCTGTGCACTAGCACCAAGTTGATAGGGAAACCTTTTTCTTAAACATTGAGAGTCCACAAACAAATGTGGACAGAATTTTGAATGTCCTTTTGCGATATTTTGACGAGGACAGAGCCAAAGGACAACGCCTCATCTCGCCTCAAGTAAAGCCAATGATGCAGATGAACTACTCTCACTAATATTTTGTCAAAGAGTTGACAAGTTGCTTGATCCACTGGTTGTAATTTCACATCAAAATACACCAGTTTAAATGTATATCTTTGAAGAATTCGTTTGATCTGTAATTCATTATATTTCCATGAGAAAATTTTCAGTCAAATCTTTTTTTTTTGCTTTAACCCCTGGATGATGTATTTATTGCCAACAACTGATGTTTATAATAAACATCAGTTGTTGGCATTAAATAGATATAAATTATATGTATGAGCGTATAAAGGCGCTTATAAAAAACGCTTATTAGTGATCATTCTATGATTCATATAGATGGTTCAGGCTCAGGAATTTTTTCAACTTTAACCCATGATTGTGTTATAGACACAATTTATAGCTGTTATATAACAATAATGTCTTGTTGCTACGTACAGTTACTCTTTGTATACTTGTCTGTTCTTTATTGCAAAATGTACATTTATTTGTGTTTCACGTGTATTATCAGTGAATTTGGCCCACGGCCCATTGGCAATTTTTTACTTTGGCCCTTGGAAGCAAAAGGTTTGGGCAATCTGCTGATTGTGTCTGCTGATCTTCCCCTAACAGGAGCACTAAAACAACTTGACCTCCGCTGACAGGGAACCTACATCTTTCGTAAATGTTGGATTCTGTGGGGTATTTAGTGTCCCTTTTCATCCTGAACTTGTTGTTTTATTAAATCCTTCAGTTTTCTATAAATCCACACTTTAATGCAACAAACTGCTCATTTGGCTCTACCACTGCTCTGATCAGCAGCTCTGATTGGTCAAAGCGCGGCCGAGCCCCTCTGTGCACGTGCACGAGAGCCACACACGCTTATTTGGGGCAACGCTTTATGGGAGCTCGTCCACTGCGCAGAACCGGGAGGGCCAGACGATGCCCAATTATGGATGAGTTTTGCTAATCTTTCGGTCTCCGTGAAGTCCCATGTGCTACTGAGCACAAGCCAATCATTTGAATAGGCCGCCATCTTGGATCACCATGGCTTGGGTGCACATAAAGCTGGTGTTTTTTGGGCTGAAGTGGATTCCACATTTTGTCCTCTTTAAACTGTATTCAATACTACTGTATAGTGCAATGGTGTCTGTTCTGGGCCTGATTTAAATCAAGTAAATACCTGGCTGACATATAGCAGTACTTGGGGTAATGGGGTTTCATAGGTGATGTGCTACTTGAGTGTAAGGTTTGAGAAGCTGTGATTGTCTCCAACACTTGGCCTGAAAGAGCCTCTATCTCCTGCTGAAGTTTCCCATGTCACAGCCGTGAGGAGGTCTTCAGCGGACACATCTAACACCTTGTCTCCTTCTCCTAGCTCCTTGTTTTATCTCCTACTCTCTT